GCCAGTGAGCACAGCTAATGTCGAACTGTGACTTCACATGTGCTATCATCTTCTTCCCAGGCTGGAATCAGTACTAATTTAGCCTACTCAACAGATGAGACCAAAGAAGACAAAAGCATGTTTGAATCAGGCAGTGAGAAAATAGCAGAGCTAGGATTTGAACCCATGTCCCTCACAGTGAATTCTCTTGCCCTGCAAAGTTTTGACCTGCTTGGGAGAATGGAATTCTTAGCCTGGAGGCTGCAGCCCTCCAGCCTTCTTTCAGGTCTGGAACCTTCCTCTGGCTCCCTCCTGGTTCTCTCAGGAGGACTCGGGCTGATTACATCGTTTGAGATCCCTGGGGGTCTCTGCCTACCTGAGGATCTGGGAGCCAGAGACCCCTTCGCAGATGATGAGTTGGCGCCAGAACCCAGCTGGGGCCTGGCTGGAGCAAGGGCCCCAGGAGAGAGAAAGGCGCCTGCTCCTGACATGGGGAAACAATGAGATATGTCTCGGCTGCTTTCTCCTAGATTCTGGAGCTGTGACCTGACACTCTTCTCTTCTTCCTCACTCACACTCTCTTCCTCTCCCCCCACCTCTCTCTCTCTCCTTTCTCTGTCTCTCGCTTAATTGTGTGTGTGTGTGTGTGTGTAAGAGAAGCCATCACTGACCCAGAACATTACGCCTTATGTCTCTGAAATTTACCTGGTCTGATATCAGATTTGAGGGGTGGATAGAACCAGGTCAGGGTCCTCAGTATGTATCACAGTAGGGACCCCCAACCGTATCGTTGGATATTCACAGGCAGATTCCCCTCCCACAAGCAGGTTGATTCCACTGGTTGAGGCCGATCCTTCTGCCTATACAACTGACCAGGTGGGAGCTGCACAAATTCAGAAGACCTTGCCCACAGCAGCCTAGCAATCTGGCCAGGCAAGCTGGGGGAGGGGCTCACGATTCACTCCTCAGAGCATCAAGGTTGTTACTTGAGAGAACTGGGGCCCACCTTGGGTCAGAAACCTTGAGTAAAGTCTGGTTGGGTTGCTGCACTGGGAATTTCATCCAAACCCTAAACCCATTCTCAGCGCCAAGGTAGAGGGGAAAGGCGAACTCCCAGGTCTCTGCCCCAGATCCATCCAAGCATCCCGCCCCAGGACATGGAACGGTGAAGGAAGATGCGGAGGAGGGTAGATAACGCGGTGGTCACAACCTGGACCAACCTGGGTTGCAGGGGTTGGTGGCTCGACCGGGAAGTGAAGCTGTCCTCGGGTCTTCCCCCCCACCCCCCCCACCCCCGCCCAGGAATTCCGAGGCTCCAGGCCAAACCGAAGGGCGGGGCGCCCGCGGCCGCTATCCTCACCTGAAATTGGGAGGCGACGCGATGTGCAGTCCCAGGAATGGGGAGGCGGCTGGCGGGGACGCGGCGCCTCCGCCCAGGCCGCTCTCTCGCTCCGCCATTCCCGGGCGCAGCCCTGGCC